GCCCATAGCTCAGTGGGTAGGGCGAGGGTCACATACACTGAGGGTGGCAGGTTTGAACCTGGCCAGGTCAGCTAAAATAACACAACTGCAACAAAAAAATAGCTGGGCATTGTAGCAGGCTCCTGTAGTCCTAGCAACTTGGGAGGCTGAGACAAGAAAATCACGTAAGCCCAAGAGTTTGAGGTTGCTGTGAGCTGTGATACCATAGCACTCTACCAAGGATGACAAAGTGAAACTCTGTCTCTAAAGAAAAAAAAAAAAAGAAAGAAAGAAATTGGAAGCCAATTAATCACCATGTGGTGGCCTACTGACACATATTCTACTGGGTAGAAAGGGGCTCTAGCCTGCCCCTTTCCCCCTATGTGGCCTTGGACATGACTTGCCCTCTCTGTTCCTCAGTTTGCTCATCCAGAAAATTGGAATAATAATGGCACTTCCTTCAGACCTGGGGAGGTTGTCCCATGAAGATGACACAAGATGGGGACATGTGTGGGTCACCCTCTATAGAGTTCCAGAAATGAGCTCACATACATACAAAACTTCTTTTGTGGTGCTCACTTCCAATTGGCAACCCATGGGGGCTATCCCTCAAGGGAAATGCCAGGCTGAATCACTGTACAAGGCCAGGTACACTCGAGGCATTGCTAAATCTTTTGGTATGAAAGAAAAGCAATCCATGCCAGCTGTTTTCCAAACATGCCACGTACTGTCCAGCCAGCACATATTTGCACACACTGTGCCAGGAGCCAGGAATACTCTTTGCCACCTGCCAAAGGCCTCTGGTGTCTTCTGGACAACTGTAGTGCCACTTATCCTGGATGCCCTGGCTCCCTGTCCCACCTTGTCCAGACCACTGAAGATAGAATGGCTGAGTAATGGCTCAGCACCTGTAGCTCAGCAGCTATGGTGCTAGCCCCAGCCTGCCAAACAATGGCAACCACAACAAAAAAATAGCCGGGGGTGGTGCCTGTGGCTCAGTGAGTAGGGCACCAGCCTACATATGCCAAGGGTGGTAGGTTCAAACCCAGCCCCGGCCAAACTGCAACAAAAAAATAGCCAGGCACAGGCGGTTGCCTGTAGCTCAAAGGAGTAAGGCACCGGCCCCATA